AAATAAAGGTAACAAATCATAACTAAAGGTGACAAAATTCAAAACAAATGCAACAACTAATAGCTAAAGGTAACAAAACTCAACACGAGATGTCAAATAAAAAACTCTTTATTTTGCTAATGGTAACAAAATTATGCTAAAGGCAACAACAAGTTACACAAAAAGATATCAATTAATAGCTAAAGGTAACAAATTAGACATAAATGTAAAAGTTAATAGTAGAAGTGTCAAAATTCAAAACAAATATAACAATTAATAGGTAGACACAAAGATATCAACTATAAAGTTCTTTATATTTCTAAAGATAACAAAATTATTTTAAAGGTAACAAATCAGACACACAAGTAATAAGTAATAGCTGAAGGAGCCAAAGTTTAAACCAAAACTAACAATTACTAGTTTAAAGAGACAAAGCTCCCCAAAATGGTATTAAATAAAACACTCTTTATTTGTTGAAGGTAACAAATTAGCCACCCTTAATATATAAAGGTAAATTTTTTAAAACAAATTAATAGCTAAATGTCTTTTATTCTACTAAAGGTAGCAAAATTATGCTAAAGGTAACAAGTAAGACATAAAAGTAACAATTAATAGCTAAATGTAGCATGTTAGACAAAAAGGCAGTAATTAATAGCTAAAGGTGAAAAGCTTCAAAACAAAGGAACATAACTTGACTCAAAGATATCAAAGAAAACTTCTTTATTCTGCTAAAGATAACAAAGATATGCTAAAGTTAACAAGATATACATTAAGGTAACAATTAATAGTTAAAGCTAACAAGTTAGAAATAAAGGTAACAAATCATAACTAAAGGTGACAAAATTCAAAACAAATGCAACAACTAATAGCTAAAGGTAACAAAACTCAACACGAGATGTCAAATAAAAAACTCTTTATTTTGCTAATGGTAACAAAATTATGCTAAAGGCAACAACAAGTTAGACAAAAAGATATCAATTAATAGCTAAAGGTAACAAATTAGACATAAACGTAAAACTTAATAGTAGAAGTGTCAAAATTCAAAACAAATATAACAATTAATAGGTAGACACAAAGATATCAACTATAAAGTTCTTTATATTTCTAAAGATAACAAAATTATTTTAAAGGTAATAAATCAGACACACAAGTAATAAGTAATAGCTGAAGGAGCCAAGGTTTAAACCAAAACTAACAATTACTAGTTTAAAGAGACAAAGCTCCCCAAAATGGTATCAAATAAAACACTCTTTATTTGTTGAAGGTAACAAGTTAGCCACCCTTAATATATAAAGGTAAATTTTTTAAAACAAATTAATAGCTAAATGTCTTTTATTCTACTAAAGGTAGCAAAATTATGCTAAAGGTAACAAGTAAGACATAAAAGTAACAATTAATAGCTAAATGTAGCATGTTAGACAAAAAGGCAGTAATTAATAGCTAAAGGTGAAAAGCTTCAAAACAAAGGAACATAACTTGACTCAAAGATATCAAATGAAAACTTATTTATTCTGCTAAAGATAACAAAGATATGCTAAAGTTAACAAGATATACATTAAGGTAACAATTAATAGTTAAAGCTAACAAGTTAGAAATAAAGGTAACAAATCATAACTAAAGGTGACAAAATTCAAAACAAATGCAACAACTAATAGCTAAAGGTAACAAAACTCAACACGAGATGTCAAATAAAAAACTCTTTATTTTGCTAATGGTAACAAAATTATGCTAAAGGCAACAACAAGTTAGACAAAAAGATATCAATTAATAGCTAAAGGTAACAAATTAGACATAAACGTAAAACTTAATAGTAGAAGTGTCAAAATTCAAAACAAATATAACAATTAATAGGTAGACACAAAGATATCAACTATAAAGTTCTTTATATTTCTAAAGATAACAAAATTATTTTAAAGGTAATAAATCAGACACACAAGTAATAAGTAATAGCTGAAGGAGCCAAAGTTTAAACCAAAACTAACAATTACTAGTTTAAAGAGACAAAGCTCCCCAAAATGGTATCAAATAAAACAGTCTTTATTTGTTGAAGGTAACAAGTTAGCCACCCTTAATATATAAAGGTAAATTTTTTAAAACAAATTAATAGCTAAATGTCTTTTATTCTACTAAAGGTAGCAAAATTATGCTAAAGGTAACAAGTAAGACATAACGGTAACAACTAATAGCTAAAGGTAGCATGCTAGACATAAAGGCAGTAATTAATAGCTAAAGGTAGCATGTTAGACGTAGAGGCAGTAATTAATATCAAATAAAAATTCTTTTATTATGATAAAGGTAACAAGTAAGACATAAAGGTAACAATTAATAGCTAAAGGTAGCATGTTAGACAAAAAGGCAGTAATTAATAGCTAAAGGTGAAAAGCTTCAAAACAAAGGAACATAACTTGACTCAAAGATATCAAATGAAAACTTATTTATTCTGCTAAAGATAACAAAGATATGCTAAAGTTAACAAGATATACATTAAGGTAACAATTAATAGTTAAAGCTAACAAGTTAGAAATAAAGGTAACAAATCATAACTAAAGGTGACAAAATTCAAAACAAATGCAACAACTAATAGCTAAAGGTAACAAAACTCAACACGAGATGTCAAATAAAAAACTCTTTATTTTGCTAATGGTAACAAAATTATGCTAAAGGCAACAACAAGTTAGACAAAAAGATATCAATTAATAGCTAAAGGTAACAAATTAGACATAAACGTAAAACTTAATAGTAAAAGTGTCAAAATTCAAAACAAATGTAACAATTAATAGTTAGACACAAAGATATCAACTATAAAGTTCTTTATTTTTCTAAAGATAACAAAATTATTTTAAAGGTAATAAATCAGACACACAAGTAATAAGTAATAGCTGAAGGAGCCAAGGTTTAAACCAAAACTAACAATTACTAGTTTAAAGAGACAAAGCTCGCCAAAAATGGTATCAAATAAAACACTCTTTATTTGTTGAAGGTAACAAGTTAGCCACCCTTAATATATAAAGGTAAATTTTTTAAAACAAATTAATAGCTAAATGTCTTTTATTCTACTAAAGGTAGCAAAATTATGCTAAAGGTAACAAGTAAGACATAAAGGTAACAACTAATAGCTAAAGGTAGCATGCTAGACATAAAGGCAGTAATTAATAGCTAAAGGTAGCATGTTAGACATAGAGGCAGTAATTAATATCAAATAAAAATTCTTTTATTATGATAAAGGTAACAAGTAAGACATAAAGGTAACAATTAATAGCTAAATGTAGCATGTTAGACAAAAAGGCAGTAATTAATAGCTAAAGGTGAAAAGCTTCAAAACAAAGGAACATAACTTGACTCAAAGATATCAAATGAAAACTTATTTATTCTGCTAAAGATAACAAAGATATGCTAAAGTTAACAAGATATACATTAAGGTAACAATTAATAGTTAAAGCTAACAAGTTAGAAATAAAGGTAACAAATCATAACTAAAGGTGACAAAATTCAAAACAAATGCAACAACTAATAGCTAAAGGTAACAAAACTCAACACGAGATGTCAAATAAAAAACTCTTTATTTTGCTAATGGTAACAAAATTATGCTAAAGGCAACAACAAGTTAGACAAAAAGATATCAATTAATAGCTAAAGGTAACAAATTAGACATAAACGTAAAACTTAAATAGTAAAAGTGTCAAAATTCAAAACAAATGTAACAATTAATAGTTAGACACAAAGATATTAACTATAAAGTTCTTTATTTTTCTAAAGATAACAAAATTATTTTAAAGGTAACAAATTAGACACACAAGTAATAAGTAATAGCTGAAGGAGCCAAAGTTTAAACCAAAACTAACAATTACTAGTTTAAAGAGACAAAGCTCGCCAAAATGGTATCAAATAAAACACTCTTTATTTGTTGAAGGTAACAAGTTAGCCATAAAGGTAACCCTTAATGTATAAAGGTAAAATTTTTATAACAATTTAATAGCTAAATGTGTTTTATTCTACTAAAGGTAGCAAAATTATGCTAAAGGTAACAAGTAAGACATAAAGGTAACAACTAATAGCTAAGGGTAGCATGCTAGACATAAAGCCAATGATTAATAGCTAAAGGTAGCATGTTAGACATAAAGGCAGTAATTAATATCCAATAAAAATTCTTTTATTATGCTAAAGGTAACAAGTAAGATATAAAGGTAACAATTAATAGCTAAAGGTAGCATGTTAGACAAAAAGGTAGTAATTAATAGCTAAATGTGAAAAGCTTCAAAACAAATATAATAGTTAATAGCTAGATGTAACAAAATTCAACACGAGATATCAAATAAAAGGTAACACTTACTAGCTAAAGGTAACAAGTTAGACATAAAATTAACGATTACTAGCTAAAGGTGAAATTTTGCAAAATAATGTAATAATTAATGGCTAAAGGTAACATAATTCAACACAATTTATCAAATAAAAGATTCTTTGTTTTTCTAGAGGTAACAAAATTATGCTAAACAAATGTAACAAGTAATAGCTAAAGGTAACAAAACTCGACACAAAGGTATCAAATACAAGTTTCTATATTTTACTAAAGGTAACAAAATTATGCTAAAGGCAACAAATTACACATAATTGTAGCAATCAATAGCTAAAGGCAACAAGCTAGACATTAGGGATGTCAATTTTGACTCATACCCATTTACCCACCTGACCCGTCCATCATTTGGCCCGCCCAACGCCCACCCATTTAATTAAATGGGTCTAATTGGACGGGTTCATTTTACATTATTCTAAATGTACACTAAATGGGCAGTGTTTATTCGCCCGTTTACCCGCCCACCGTATTCCCAAAACCAAAACAATCAAAACTCGATCCCAAATTCCCAATCTCCTCTTTCTCCTCCGCCTCAATCCCAATCTCCTCCGCCTCCTCCGCCTCCTCCTCCTCCGCCGCCTCAACCGCCTCTCGAACCCGAGCCTCCGACCCCAATCCCTCCTCCTCCGCCACATCAATCGCCTCTCGAACCCAGAGCCGCCTCCGCCACCTCAAGTCGCCGCTGAAGTCGCCGCCTCCGCCACCTCAAGTCGCCGCCACTTCCTGCGATAGCAATCTTTCTCTTAGGTGAATCCTAATCTCAAATCTTTCTATAACATTCAGTCAAATCTTTCTCAAATCTCTCAGGTGAAAACGACAAGTCTTTTTTGTTTATTTGGTATTTTTGTTTTCTTCAGGAGACTCCAAAGCTGAAGCTGCACTCTTACTGGAGGAGCTCGTGCTCTCAGCGAGTGAGGATTGCGCTCAATCTCAAAGGTCAGATTTTGATGCTTTAATTCTTTGTAATCTCTATTTTGCTGAAATGGATCCTGGAGGTTTTATTGAATTTGTGTTTGTATTTTGAAGGGCTGGGGTATGAGTACAAAGCAGTGAACCTTTTGAAGGGAGAGCAGTTCACTCCAGGTAAGAAACATTTAAGTTTTATTATGAATTTTGGACTAGCTGTTAAATTTCCTAATTTTTTTGGGTGATAATATATTGATAATTGTCATGTTCTGGGAATTTCTATGATCGGACAATGAAATTTGAGAAAAAAAATATTGGTTGTTGACTCTTGTGGTTGGTTTGTCATATGCTCAAAGCAAAAGTGTTCTTCTTGGATTCATGCTTTTAGTATTAGGAAGATCTTCAGTATTTTAGATGTCAAATAGTTAATTAAAATTTTAAAAAGTAGGAAGACAATCAGTAGCATTTTGACTTTTGTTTAGCAATTCCTGAAGTTTACAGTTGATTTGAATGTAACCATATCTATTAAAATAACGAATGCTGAAGGGTCATGCAGCTGCAGATATATTTGAAAAAGGAATATGTGATTTGGAGCCTGTTCTTTTCATGACTCCTCTTAGTTGAATATTTATTTATATTTATTCTATTGTTTTTTTTTTTGGTTTAACTTGGTTAGGGAGGATGGCCAAGCCGTCCTTCTTTACGGAATATAATAAAACAAGTTTAGTTCAAATGAATAAAGAAGGAAATTTATTTAACAAGACAAAAAGGTGAGAGGGATTCAGACTCTCATTGGTTATGGCAATATTGATGTGCTATTAAATTATTTTTTTCAGCGATCATGTCTTTAAATGATCAATTTAGCATCCATGATGATGGTAGTAATGATGAGAGTACTTCTAAACGTAAAAGAAGACATTTGTGAAATAACTCACGACAGGTAAATTTTCCTTAGAGGAGGAACTGTACTAACAACATACATATCAAGTGCCAACAAAACATGACTGACATTTGTGGCAATTGATGACTAATAATGTAGCTTAGTAACAATTAATGAGTCGATTTGCCAAGGACAACGGATTGTTGTGAGTTACATTTCATTAGGAAATTTGTTTCTAGTGTTCAATGTTTATTTCTTTATACTTGAAAAGTTTTAGACCTTTTCCCCTTTCTAGTGCTCTAGATGCCATTACTTCCTACTCATTGCAATTATTATCCCTTCTTTAGTTTTCTGTGGAGTAATTTCGCGATAACAGTTTGTTGGGTCTTTTCTTTTTGAGGAGTTCTCCTTCTGTTTTGATTCTTCTCCCTAAAATTCTCTCTGAATTTTCTTTGGGATCTTGAAGAATGAGACTTTGAGGATATTTATTAAATGGGTTTTAAGTAATTATACAAATATACAATTTATCGCTCTCCAAAATCATTTTCACAAGGGTTCTCTCTTGCAAGCCCAAATGTTAGTGAAAGCTTGGTAGATGATGGACATACTTATTCAATAGCTGTTATGTTCAATACACACAAGTGTACAGTTTTAAGTTGCACAATTGCTTTTATATGCTGTTTGAATTGTAGCAGTTATAGTTCACACAAGTGTACAGTTTTAAGTTGCACAATTGCTTTTATATGCTGTTTGAATTGTAGCAGTTATAGTTTGCTAAAAGCCTGTCAAGGAAACTCTAATTTGCTAAACTAGGCTATTTGTGTGAGGCTTATCTTATTGACACAAAGCTTATGTTTTTGCCCTTTTTTCTTTTGGGGCATTCTACTGCAGGATGGGAATGGAGATATGGTTCTTATGTTATCTTACAGTTAACAGTTTACATATACTCCTTCCTCTAAAATCTTATTATCAGAGTCAAACTCATCACTCCTTTCCTCTCTTTCTTATAACAACAATTAGCTTATCGGTATGCAAAGAGAGGAGCATACCTAGTGCTTGCAGCAAGGAGAGAGGCTGAGCTCTATGCAAAGAGAGGAGCATACCTAGTGCTTGCAGCAAGGAGAGAGGCTGAGCTCAAGGCTGTGGCCAAGGCTGCAAAAAACAATGGAGCTCCTGATGTGCTCGTGATCCCCGTGATCCCCTGTAGTTTTACTGTTTACGCGTGATCATTGAAAGGTTTATATAGTTGAGAGTCGAAGATTTTCTGAGTAGCCAGTGACATGATTATCATTTTGATTCTGTTATTCTGAAACCAACAGACATCTTTCATTTAATTTTTATTTTGTTGCCTTGGTCCATTATAACTCATTTGTGCTATGCTGATGACCTCTTGCTATTTTGTAAAGGAGATGTTGGTTGTGCTACTATTTTGTTTATAGACGAACTTACTACTCTTCTAGTTTATCAAGTAATTAAGTAGATTGTCCTTACTAATCGTGATCGTGTTGCTGATAGTTATGATGGCATTTATATCAAGTTATTGATCTTATACAGATCCTTGCATACATTGTGTTTTCTATCTTAATTCATTTAAATATTCTCGCAATTTTGTTGTTATTGATCTTTTGGTTTTTGGTTTGGAAATTTGAGGTTAATTTTGCAAATGTGTGTGGTCTGTACTTTTATCCAGACTTGTAAATGGTTCAATCATGAACTTGTCTGTCTTTGTTTATCTTTGTTTATGTTCCTATCTTTGTTAGTATTTTATCAAAAGTCCCAACAAGTTTGCAAAAGCTCCCAAAACGTTTGCAAAAAGCCCACAATAGTTTACAAAAACCTCCCTAAAAGTTTACAAAAAACACCACAAAAGTATTATACATATATAGTTATTATAGTTAAATGGGCAAATGGGTGACCCGTTTATTAAATGGGCGGGCAAAAACCCGCCCATTTAAATAATGTTAAATGGGCCATAAATGGGTAAATGGGCAAAACATGCCCGCCCATTTATGGCCCGCCCATTTAAAACCCATACCCACCCATTTAACATCCCTACTAGACATTAAGGTAAGTAACAAGTTAGACATTAAGGGTTTGTTTGGATTGAGGGGAATGAGGGTGAAGGGAAGTTAGGGGAACCATTCACCCTCATTCACCTTGTTTGGGAACACTTAGGAGGTGAAGTTAATTCACCTCCATTCACCTTGGTTCACCCCCTAATAGTATAAAAATTGTTACCCCCCAAATTGGGGTGTAACTAAGGGGAAGGGAATTCCCTTCCCTTTCCTTCCTTTCCCTTCCCTTCCCTTAACTCAGTTTCCCTTAACTTCCCTTCACCCCCTACGAATCCAAACAGGCCCTAAGGTAACAGTTAACAACTAAAGGTAACAAGTAAGATACAAATGTATCATATAAAAAACTCTCTATTTTGTTAAAGGGAATAAAATTATTGTAGAGGTAACAAATTAGGCACAGAAGTAACAATTAATAGCTGGGTACCAAAGTTTAAAATTAGTAGTTAACAATTAATACTTAAAAATGACAAAGCTTGGCACAATTGTGTCAAATAAAAAACTCTTTATTTGCTAAAAGTTAACAAAATCATAGGTTAACAATTAATATACAAAGGTAGAAGTTAAAAACCAACTTAACGAGTTATTGCTAAAGGGAACAAAACTCGACTCAAAAATATCAAATAAAAAATTATTTATTTGCAAAGTTGTAACAAATTTATGCTAAAGGTAACAAGTTAGACATAAAGGGAATAAGTTAGAGGCAAAGGTAACATAAAATAGCTAAATATAACAAGTTGACATAAAGGTACAATAAATAGTTAAAGGTAATAATTCAAAGCTAATATAACAATTAAGAGTTGTCTAACATACAAAAGAGCTTGATAATGTGACAGCCTGCGGACTGCAGTCAATGCCTTCGCCAATGCCTAATGTTCTGTATGCATCTCTATAACGTAGAGGGTATAGTGGTTGTCTTGTGCAAAACAATAACTTTTCTTGCTGTGACATTAGATTTCATGCCTATAAAAAGGATCTATCCAGAGTTCAGATAATCAAGGAAGCACTGTTAGAGTGCGAGGTGCTTACAGAGTACTGGATGACTTTAAAGTAACTGTGAAGTTTAAGGAAATTTTGATTAGATAGCTAATTTACCAGCCATACATTGTGGGTCAAAATATATTGGTCAACTAAGAAAATACATATTGAAAAAATGAGATCTAAAATGAAAATGTTGAGATGGAGTAACAAAAGTACATTGTATCCTAAAAAGTCAGATAAATTAAATTAAATACAATAGAGGTAATGCCTGAGATGGTTTTGATTGTTGCATTACCTGAAAATGTTTTGATTGTTGCAATGGACTGATGAGTGCATCAATCAGGAAGAGGCATACAGCCATAATCAAAGTAGCTAGTAGCTTTGTAGAAGATCAATATGAACATGGAGAGAAGTATAATCAGGATAAGTATATGCGACATCATTAAATTAGCAAGAAGATGGATATTAACATAGTGCATGCGTAAAATGACTAGCATATCTTATAAAATCATCAATAATGGTGTTCCTGTTATTTCTGGAAAAATAAAAGTCACATGCAGCCAGATATTGACATGGGTTTAAATGTTCTCAAGCATGGATGCCCTGAAGCACCCAACTTTCATGAAGTTTTACATCTAAACTTTCTGCAAAATACAAAATCATTTGCTACAAAGAGAGCAATGAGAAAAAACCTGTTACAGATGCAACAATATGATAAATGGTTTCTAGACGAGTAGACAAATGTTTTTTTCCTCAGTAACATGAATATAGAAGGAGTGTCTCCATAGGCTCCCTCCAAAGGTATCAGATTAATGCGAAAGCCCTCATCAGTCAATTGTCAGGACTTCCTAATCAAATCTAGCCGAAATTTAAATTCTGACAGATAAAGATTCATATAAAATTTGTATAACACCATTCCGTTAAATTATATGTCCTCGAGGACTAAGGTCCTTACCTTCGTTGGGATTAAGCAGAAGCTCATGGTCAAGAAATGACGGTTCTTTCTCAGTAACAATCTTGTTCTAAATATGCTATGAACTCAGTGTCTGCTTCATGTATCTGAGGGCCGAACACAGCAAGCTCTAGTTTTCTTGTCAGGATTGCATCCCGATAATATCATTTCCTCAGACAGATGGTACCTGTTAATTGTTTATCGAGAAAAGATTTACTCAATAATGATAACACATATCTGTAATATGTAAATATATCTATCAACATAAATATAATCATTAAAACCACTAACACTAAGAAAGTGTATAATCATGGAGCCTGTTGATTGTTAAGTGAAAGACTTCCTTGATAAGTGCTCAGAAGTAAGTGCTTTAGGAAATTAGAATCAGCAGTAAGTGCTTTAGGAAATTAGAACCTCAATTATTTGAGCCCCAGGTTAAAGAAATAATTCTCCTGCATAAGTTATCTGACCGGTTGCTAATCTCTTTAGTCCGATTAGAGTAAATCAGATGAAATGACTTGCAACTTTCATATTCTCAAAATAGAGTGAACTTACTATTGTTAGCATAAAAAAGTAAAATTTATCAATTATTGTTTATCCTTTTTTAGGTAAAAAGAACTGCCAACTACCATATGATCATTATTTTCTCTTGTTCTTGAATTTAAAGAGAATTTTGTTATTTACTGATAAAACGCCCTTTCCACAATACCTAAACCAAATAAATGTGACATACTCCTAATTCTAGTATGATCCCCTTTCAACCCAAAAGGGGGAAAAAAAGAAAAAAAAATGCCAACTACCATTTAATCATTATTTCTCTTCTTCTTGAATTTAAAAGGAAAATTGTAATTTACTGATAAAACGCCCTGTCCATAATACCTAAACCAAATAAATGTGACGTACTCCTTGTTCTAATGTGACGCCCTTTCCAAATAAAAGAAAAAAGTATCAACACAACTATATCCATTCAAATCCACTGATGGTAAGCATATCGTAATTATACAGTTGTGTGATTGCATAAAAGGTATCTCACCTACCTTATTGATAAACAATGATGCCCTAATAGGTTTCAAGGTGATGCTGAGCATTTTGACATCTTATTTCTTATGTAATTGACAAAGGAACTAATATAGTTGCATTCCCCAGGTTCCAACATAAATAGATATGGCTGAAAAAAGATATTTGCAGTGATAAGCCAGGATTCCAAGCCAGCAGGAGCAGATCTAGTTAAAGCATCACATCGTTTAATTACAAATGTTCTTAAAGATTAATTTAAGAATGACTAAGATTTCAATTGGTAATACAATGAAAATTGCAAATTAAAGAAACTGACAGGCCTCAATTTGCATTACCTCTTTATCAGAAAGATGAATTATTAACATAACAAATAACTAGAACAATATAAGCTTTGGATGGCTGTGAATATTATAATACGAATTCTATAATAATGTTTGCCTTGAAAACTTCTATCCTGTTAAAAAAGACAGCAAACTATATAAACTTATAAATATATCTAAAAATTATCGGTAAACATCTTTACATGTTTAATAGATTTTTAAGTTTTCTTTCCCTTTTTACTTGCTAATTTGTTGATTGTGTTTGAATACACCTAAATTTGGGATGCATAGAGAATATCCACAAAGTATCAAATATCTTAAAATCCAAGCATCCAAAACATGTTCAATCTGTTATCAGTGCTTTTTAGATTAGCAATATAGTAGTATACTAGCCATTGCCTTTTCAAACTTCTCAACATGGATTAAAGCTTTCGCAAGAGTAGTACAGATCACAACATCTGGCTTTATATCCTGTAATAGAAAAATAAAAATAACCATAAGCCAAGAGCTGATAAATGGGGCTAAGCATGTAAAAAGAGTACATAATTTTCATGCTAATAAACTAAAACTATAAAAGAAATGAATCCTATACTTACATTTTCCTTCATAAATTGCAGTACGGAAAAGGCTTCCACCTCCCTTCAATCTTTGCCAAATGCATTAATTAAAGAGTTAAGAACTAAAATACTAGGTTTTATGCATCTGCTCTGAATGCATTTATAGCTTTCTCTGACAGTCCCTGCAAAAAAGTGCAAACACACAAAAAATGTGATAAGATATACAATACATGAATACGCTATTAAGAAAATGTCAGAAGTGCAACAAATAATTATGTCCATGATTTTTTCCAAACCTCGATAAATAATCCTGCCCAGGAAACTTTTTGTAAACAACAAAAAAGCAACATGTACACAAAACATTGGTATTTACCCTCTACGTATGCATTGACTAATGCATTATACATCGTCGGTGATGGCTTCATTCCTCCAGCCTTCATCATCTCCAACGTATGCATTGACTAATGCATTATACATCGTCGGTGATGGCTTCATTCCTCCAGCCTTCATCATCTCCAAACACTAAATCTCATTCTTAAAACTCTCTCGTCGGTGATGGCTTCATTCCTCCAGCCTTCATCATCTCCAAACACTAAATCTCATTCTTAAAACTCTCTGATTTCCCATAAACAGTGCCAAACCTGTTAGATTTGCCTGAAAAAAAATGCCAGAAACATGCTTGCTGAAATGTCTCAGAATGGAAACTAAAACCTTCACCATGCATCAGAACAACTTCTTAGATCAATACATAAAGATATCATCCTTTCAAATTGCATGAAGAGTTAGTATATCAAGTGAAAATTATATTCATAAATCTCTAAGAAATCACAAAATTCAAAATGGAAATGTACCTATCCTCATAATATAATATCAACATTAGGTTTCGTTTGATAGGGTGTGGGCTCTCTCGCAGCTTGGCCTCTGTTCTCTTCCCCTCTCTCTTCGAGATTTGAAATGGAGAGGGAGGGAGCCGTTCTTCTTACCTACACAAGAACTCGAGCACTACAAGAAGCATTAATGGATTGTCTCAGTCTCATGGATTTTATTGAATTATATTAATTTCACTGAAAAATAGTCTGGCACATAGCTCAATGAAGACCAAAATATTCTTCCTGGGGAAGATCACTCTAAATCCATGGCATAAAACATGTCCTGTTGGTAAAGGTTTGGTGTCACGAAATGCTAGAAATATTCATTGAAATCTTGTTTTGATACAATTTTTGTTGCTGATAATGACTTCTCTGATTATCAATAAGAAAAGACTTAAGAATATGGACAACTGAGGTCCTAATTTCCTAAAACACTTACTACTGAGCACAAGAATAATTCAGATAATTGTTTAACATGAATCAAAGTTAAATTCTATCAATCTTTACAACTGTAGAGAACCAGTAGTTGCAAAACTTGTAAGTCTATCACCAGAATTCAGGTCTACTACCACGTTAACCTTAAGTGTCTGAAGGATCATACAGATAATCTGAATGAAAAGAGGATTTGTTTCTTAAAACTGCTATCTCTGAAAATAAAAGCAATGCAAGAAACCTAGAACCCCTCAGATATACATTGTCGAAAAATGTCAAAAACATGCTCGATGAAATGTCTCAGAGATGAAACTAAAATTTTCCTCACGACAAAAAAATCCCTAGACTATATCTATATATACCATCATATAAACTATTAGTTATTCTCTAGATTTCTAGAATTCAATCGAAATATGCATTACAAAAAAGTAAGTAAATCAGGTAAACATTATCTATCATATAGATCTAAGAAATCACAAAAACTAAGAGGGAAATGACATGACAGAAACATGCTCGATGAAATGTCTCAGAGATCAAAGTAAAATTGTCCCCATGTATCACGGCACAAACCTCTCCGATCAACCATAAACTAGTAGTTAATCTCGAGATTTTAGAAACCAATTACAATTTGCCCAAAAAGTAAGCAAATCAAGTAAAATTATCCATCATAGAGATCTTAGAAACTAAAAAAAACTAAAATTGAAAATGAATTACCGATCCTCCTCTAATCAAAGCTAGGGTTTCGCTCGCTAGGGCTTGAGCTCCTTCACCCTTGCCCCCTTTGTCTTTTCCCTCTCTTCAAGATTTAAAACTGAGAGGGGGAGCGAGGTCGACCCTTTATTTATAGTAAACAGGCGATCACGCGTCTGTCACGCGTTCGCTTAAAACATACGCGCACGCGTATAATTACGCGTCTGCGTTTATTCTACGCGGATGATTATAATTATGCATCTTCGTATAAGTTACGCGTACGCGTTAAAATCTTCAGCATATGATCTACGGGTACGAATCAAACCTATAATAAATCGACCCGAGCTGTGAATAATCCGACACTAGACCTTGCCGTGTTTAGGGGCCCAATTACAGTGACTATACTAATAAACTCAGCCTCAAGGCCTAGAAAACGAACAGTCCGGAATTTAGAATATAGGCCGCACTATATTACAGCTTTATTTATACACCTGGCCCAGAGTCGGCCCAAGTTTGGCTTCACTCTCACGAGTCCCGCAATCCCCTCTCTTTCTCCACAAATTCCCCAAAAAATCTGCACAGGCTACGATGCTCATCCTCCCTCCTCCTCATCGCCCCTTTCCCTCTTC